TTCCAATTGTGTATCGGGCACTCCTCATTAGAAGCGTCGATCAATCGCCTAGCAGCAGCCGCAATTTGCAATACCTATTCACTTTGAACTCCTGGTTGGAGACAGTACTGGTCGACATTGATGTCGGTGACAATTTTGCCGTGGCAATCCATCAACACGTCACCTTTTTTGAACAATTGCAAAGCAATAAAACCTAATAAAAAAGAAACCACTGATTGAAAAACGAACTGATTCAAAAATGATATTTTATTAGTAAGATATATTTATCGAGTAATTAAAATTATAAAGTACCTCTTCCAAAGACGGGAATTATTACATCGCATATTCTGACCCAGCTCTTGGTCAATGCACGACTCTGCAACTCTTCCTGAGCCTCATATGGAAAGCTCTCGGAAAACCCGCTGAACAACATAGCTCATCTTGCTCCTCTTTAAATGGGTTCTGGCCTCCGTATAGTACAATTTCAAACTCTGTACTAGCCAGGCTGCAATTCTGTGGGAGACGCGAGAAGTTGACATTATAAAAATGAGTCATCAAATCGATTCATCAGTGTTTTTTTTTTCAAATCAATGTTTTAGATTTAAAATGATACTTACAGGCTGCTGGTTCTATGCTCAGCTCCACGGTATCGTCTTCGTTTTTTTCCTCTATGTTGACAATCGCCTGCACTACAGCATGTACCATGGTGTTGATGATCATTTTCTCGAGCATCCCTGTGCACGTGAACAGAAACGTGACAATGGCCCTGAACAAGGTCAGTTGTTCTTTGTGGGTCAAGGTTCCGTTTCTTTTGTCGGCGCAGTCATTCAACTTCCGGACATTCTGTAAAATGACTTCTTTGAGAGTCTTCTTTACTATCATGTTTTCGGCTCGGGAGGTTTTTCCAGGTTGCTAAAACTGAATATGATTTAGTTTCAAAACTTGATTTACCAAAACCTTTAGGTTTGTGTAATGTGAAGTTATTTCTTCAACTTACAGTTTCGCCTTCATTATCTAGCTCTGCATGATCCCTTGTGCGGCTTTCTGTGGGCTCGTCGTTCATGTTGTCTTGTAATTTTGTGGGACCATGGGCTCGGGGTTCCGTGGGAGTGTAGGTTCGCCTCTCATGGCCATGCGGTTGTCTTTCAACTTCTCGATAGTGGGGAAAAGCCGATGGCCATGGAGAATTCGGATACAGTGATGCCGACATGTAGGAAATCAGGTAGGCTGGATATGGCTGATACTGCTGAGGCAGGCACTGATGTACCATCGAGGGGCCTGAATGGACATGTCGCAGAGGGGTATGAGGTTGCCCATATGTCGGCGGAATTAGCAAGACAAAAGGTCGAGGGGGTGCTCGCAAAGGAGTTACCAATGTCGGAGTAGCAAGTGATGTCGTCTCTGGTGCTGCGAAAGGTGACGGAGGCACAAGGATTTTAGAAGGCACTAGAAATGGCGATGGAAAACTGGAAGGCTATGAACATGAGTTTTCGGGGTTGGACATTTACTTTGAGTCCGTAAGTTTATACTAGATTGGGATGAAAAATGAGAGATGCAACTAATATTGAGCACAAGATGAGGATGAGCTGACTCCAATTTAGCGGCAAAGCTCCCATCGCTTATCGGCACCAATTTAATCGAAACAACAGGATATCTAGATAAGAGTCCCCCAGGGAATAGCATCGACCCTTTCCACTCTTTCTAGCACACCGGATGACAGTAGCATCTATGCAAAAATTACTGCCTAAAGATAAGACGGCTAATTGACAATGAACTGACAAGTGGAACTAGACAGTGCAGTTCTTATCAGTAAAGCCGTCATTATCGGGGAAAACTGTCATTAGTCAATTCTTGGACCAAGGCACATTTCGTTTCAATCATTCAATCGCTCATCAATTCAGCCATAAATTAGAGTCTTTCATCCGTGCCATTATGCTAAGTAGAACTTTTCGGGTAAAGGAAAAAATACAATTCATCGATGCCGTAATTTCCATCCGGGAAAGTGCTGTAATTTTATCATTAATCAGCGATTGGTGCGTAAAGATTAAATGGTCTGATTGGCCGTGAAGAACCATTTTTAGTGTCCCAGAAGACAAAAAAGAAAACGCAATGGCATGGAATATAAGAAAAATCCACGAACACAATGATACTTGTGTCATCAGCAGGAGGCGGAAGTTGAGAAAAGATAAAATATCGTTCAACCCCAGACGGCTGCACAGGAACTCTATGGTCCTTTTGAACATGCTGGGAGTGTCAGAAAAGGGATTGTCATCATCAACGACCCTTTCGCGTCCCAGTGCACAGTTCGTTTGGTCGACAAACTTCAGGATATTGCGGGGAATGGACCATCATGCAGTGGCACTTTTACGTTAGATACTCCTAGTTGAGAAACTAGTCACAAGGCGAGTCAAGGAAACGAGTCGTCGGAGAAAAATTCATGATCACGGATGCTGAGAAATTTAGACCCGAAAAAAACCTTCTGAGCCCAAGGCCAAAGAAACAAAAAAGGAGGAAAAACCGCAGGCAGATGTTTTGAGTCGGCTTGATTTATTTGAGTTGCCAGAAAGTGACATTCCATTGAAGTTTGCTCCATGCATCAACGGTGTAATACAGGTGAAATTATCTTGTAACTAATCAAATGTTTAACAAATCTACTAATTAATCACATCCAACTATCTTTTTTTTCTGTATGATCCACGACTTCATCTGGTATCTTGAAAATTGTATTTACGGATGCAACTTATTCTTATTTTTATCGGTATTTAATTTATCCTATTCTATTTATATACCGTATTCTATTTTGTGATTTTAGCTGAGATCGACTATCTTGCAAGCCGGAGAAAAATTTTGTGTTGATTATTTGAAATTCGATTATTCAAAGAAACGAGCTTTTAATGAATTCCATCGAAAATGCGGATGTCACCCTGAGAATGCCTTCTGCATTGGCGGAGCTTGCTGAGGAGGATTTTTTTGTATGTGGCTCTTTATTTCATTTTTGTTGTTTTTCCAAAAACAAATATGATTTGTTTTTTATTCTCTTGTGCTTCGCTTTAGAACGATGAGTTTAGCTGCAATCTGAATGATATTACTCACCCAATTGGCCGAATTTTTGCGACATTTTTGGCAATAAAAAGATGCGTTTGCTTGATGAGGAAAAAAACAGGGCAAACTTTTAGATTGGTTCCAGCTACAACAGTAACCAGAAAGGCCATTGGTTTATCATCCACACAGTGTGCTGCAAAATGTTTGGGCAGTAGAACCTCAGGACTTTTTGGATGCCATCAATGTTAGGGTTCTGTGCTGGGGGAAAAATGGGATTTGTTGCCAGCAAGAAACGAAAGTGAGCTAGGCACTCTGATCAAATCTCTCAAGTTCAACGAACACATAGATTTCCTCATAAGCACAATCCAATGCCATATAAATGCATGCCGTGGTAGATATGCGATCGAGGATAAATACCGAGATGTAATTAGACATAATACGGCCGAGTCCACCCAGGATTTTTTTATGACTTGGAATGAACAACTTGAACTGTTTATACTGTTTGTTGTCATGATGTTTTCTCACGACTCTTTGTTGTTATTTGATCTTTTTAAATTAACCATATTTTGTTGTATTGTTTTTACTGTTTGCAGTATGTGTTATGGTCTGAAAAGTATGCCGGCCCGTCAAAGTTGCACATACAGAGTAAACTATCTATTTGATGTAACTTGCTCATAGAAAGTAAATTATCTATTAAGAAAAACTAATTTGAGTAAATCCGTTTCAGATAAAAAAAGTAACAAAACTTACAGCTAAACTAAGTGGTTAATTGCAAAAACAAAAATATGTTCCCGAAAATTTTGCCTTATCAAACTATAAATGAAAACACCTTAATTATTGAAAACACCTTAACTACATTTGAAAACACCTGATTAATCTAAATGCGAGTTTGTTTCATAAGTTTGTTCAATTTGTTCCTTTGCAGGAACTGAGATTGATGGCAGGAATTGGGATCGAAGTTGGGTTATAGAAATTGGGATTGAAGTGTGGTTACAGGAATTGGGATCAAAGCTTGGTTACAGGAACCGGGATCGAAATTGGGTTACAGGAATTGTGATCGAAATTGGGTTACAGGAATTGGGATCGAAGTTGGTGACGAAGTTGGTCAGATCAAAGTTGAGATCGAATTGAGACTTGTAGACGTCATGTATTGTTGGTGAAGCGTTGTTGGTGAACACTTGTAGCAAATAAAAGATATAAAATGAAACGTTACCACATATAAACATATATGTCAAATGAAATCCTCAAACAAAATGCGGGTTCTACTTACAGTTTGCGGATTCCACTTATAATTTTCGGATTCCACTTAAAATTTGCGGATTCCACTTACAGTTGCGGGTTCCGCAACAGCTCAATTTAACGAAACAAATGTTTCATCATTTGTTTGTGGATTCCACAAACTGTTCTGAATTCCACAAATACTGTTGCGGATTCCGCAGTTTCGCATATTTTTGGAGCGATTTTGAGCGGTACAATGATTTAGGTATTTGTTTGTGGAATCCAAAACAGCATAGAAGATCAAAGAAAAGTAGCAATGTTGCGGATTCCGCGACAAAACTGATTTTGGCCTTTTGCGGATTCCGCTTACAATGCAGAGAATGCATAGTTTGGCCTCGTAATGTTCTGTCGTCAGTATGAATAATTGCTCAGCGCAATTGTCAGTTGCTTTAATGGTACCTGAAGTTCGTGAAAAAAATCACAACGAATCAAAAAGTCTTTTTTTTTTCAAGTAACTCGGCAAAAAAGCTCAGCTAAATGCGCACTGAAAGTCTCTTATAACTTATTTTGATGAGCAAAATCTTAAATTGCTATCCACATGAAAGGACGTATTATTGCCGGGGCAAGAAATGATCGCAAAGCTGGCTCCTAAAAGAAATGTAAAAACAAATTAAAATAGCTGTCTAAGAATGTGTAAGACTGAACCTTTCAAAAAACCAATCATGTGCGTAAGTTGAATGAAGAAAAGCAGTTTAAAACACTCTAATCGCAAAACCTCAATTCTGGGTACAAAAATCAATTTTAAACAAAGCTTATTTTCAGCACACGAATTGGTTCAACATTATCTACGCAATTCTTAATTCATAATTTTGTTGATTCTAGAGTCGAAATCGGGAACTCCGGTGGTCTGGAGATATAGTTTGTTCAGTTTGCATATCAGTTTATCAGCCATATATTCCAAATTATTATAGAACTATTCTGCGACAATGGTTCTGGTAGTTTCATTTTTGTCGGTAAATCGAAATATCTTCGTCGAAAGCATCATTTGATTTTGAAAATACCACTGGTCTTGAAATAAATCATCTGAAACTGGCAATAAGTATAAATGCGGTTCGAAAATAAGATCAAGAGAAAATACAGGCAAAAGAATTTGGCGTAAGGGGCTGAACAGCCTGTAAGTTTGCAGCAGCATGTTATTTGTCGCCGCAACGAGAGACTGCATATCGATCATTCGAGTCTTGATTCTGGAAATATTAGTTCCACAAAAAATTGAGTTTAGAACAGGGCTTAGATAAAGTCATTTTTCTAATTACACAGAATTCAATACACCAGTAAGCGTATCATTATATGGAGAGTTCTCTGAAATACTCTTCAAATCTAAATTTGGGATCTCAGTTCTCAGTTTTCCTTGGAACAGGTAAAATCTTGTCCGGGTACACAATGCAATCATCTTAGGTAAAACAATAAAAAGAAGTGTGAAAAGATATAAAGTGATATATGTGACAGTTTTTTCTAACGGATTCGACCAACTGAAAACGACTATTTTGCCATTGGTAAAAGTTCATCAGAAATCACTCAATTTGGAAGAAATTTGCCATTCTCTGAACCAAGCTGCAGCTCTGTAAATGAACATTTAACTCGAATAGTTTTTGGTAGATGAAAATTACGAATCGAGTCAAATAATAAAAATAGGAAAATAAGAAACCGGTAAAGTTTAGCGTAAAGAATATTCAATTTTTTGAGAAGTTTTTAAAGGAGATATCGCATCACTAAGTAGAAGTGCACCAACAAGCAGTGACTCTCGGTCTGATTTCGTTTGGCTTCGAGTCTTTATTAGATTTACAAAAAATGAGAGGTCAATCTTGCGGAAAGGACGTATACATTATTTGTGTCGTTGCTTTTTTAAACTTTTCACAAAAGTTGTCGGACTCGTCTTCGATACTTGCTTTTTCGAGCGAGGGACATATGCATATTTAGGGTTAATCGGTGGAATCATAAAGATCTCTTGACCTTTCAAAGAGGTGAGCCTGGTGATGTTTTTATCTGATACACCAATAATGTAAAATCCCATCCGAAGCGATTTGTTTTCAACTGAGATAGAGCCAATGATAAGTGTAAATTCAACAGAAGTAACAACGAGCGGAAGGCAAAAGTACTGTTTTAGTATAATATAAACTAATATAATCTAGTTTTGGTATAAATACGTCTCAAAGCAAAAAATTGTTGTCTCAAGTAATCGCATAACTAAAATTGGTTCAATGAAAAGAACACGAAAAATGGCGTCAAAATCATTGTCAAATGAGCAAATTACGTCAAACTATGGAGCTGTTTGGTAGTTTAAGTGAAGCAGAGAAACATTTTTGCATATATTCATTGCAAAAAGTGTTTCGCCATCGATACGGCATAAAAGTACTGTGTTTTCTAAGGGTGCAATATTAGACATTGAGTGAAGTGTAATTTCATTTTTTGTTTCTGACTGGGACAGATTGTTCTTAATATCCAGTTCATACACACGGGATGTATAAGTGTGTCTCTCTGTCACCCACAAGTGTCCAGCTAACAAGTATGCTGGTGAATGGATTCTGTCTGATGGCATCCAAACGAAAGTATAAGCCGCCATTACTTCGGACAAGATTATATAGATCACAGACTGTGGCTTTAATGTTGTAGTTGTTGACGTTCTTGCTTTGGTTTTATCTGCTAGGGAATTTTTTGGTGATGATGGTTTTGCTTTTGTTTGTGATTTTGAGCCACCTGTTGAATCTGATGATAGTGGTTGGAGCGAGACCACTGCTACTCTGTTGGTTTTGATGCCACAAGAGAGCAGCAGAGAAATTTCGTTTGCCAAGATAGAACTAGCGTAATACACATCACCGACAACTGCAATATCAAGCGATACAGTGTGCTGTCTTTGCTGGTTATTAAACACAGTCACGCTTGTCCATTTCCTGTCTGAATTGCTACGATCAAATACAGCTACAACCACAGTCTGACCCAAAGCAGTTACCGCCCAACCAATTTCTCTTCCGTTTTCAATTCCATCTGTGTCTAGTTGTCCTTTCTTCTCAAATGTATTCTGGTCCAATATCTCCACTCGATTCACTCTGTCACTCTCCCGCACTATCCACCCGTACAGTACTTTGTTACTGTCCATTGCAATCGACAATAATTGATCTTCTTCTCCTCTTAGTGCAGTCCAGGTCATAGTTCTTTTTAGTTCAAACAGCCCACTTGATTCATTTGATATATACACTCTGATTACAAAAGTATCTGAATTCCAATCAAAGCCTAAATTAATCACATTTTTCGTCTCTGTGTTATACACTGCTTGTCCCAGCGGAAACGGAAAATAAAACTTTCCCACTGCCTTCTCTTCCACTCCCACCAAAGTCCTTTTTTTCCTCACAACAACTTCTCTCTCCCCACCAACAGAGGGAACATCTTCTCTGCCACTTTCTCCTTCAACCGCTCCTCTCGATACAACAAGTCTCTCCAATCCACCAATTAAATCTTCCGTTTCACTCGAACTATGGGCGTCATCTCCAATTGTGGAAGAGCTGCTACCCTCGGAGATCCTTCCGCCCTCGCTTTCGACACTGTCATTCAAAATGGCTCTCAACTTCGCCTCGAGGTCATCAAATTTCATCAAAATCTTGGACTTAAATTCTTTCATATCATTCAAATGAACGCGCAAAAGCTCCCGCAATTCTTTTGATTTTGTTTCGAGTTCATTAGCTGATTTGGATTTCATAACATTAGACTGCTTTTTCTCGGCGGTAGAAGCCTGTGTTAAAATTGAAGTGCAGCCACCTTCACAAAGTTTGGCCATGCTCTGACATTCAGCTTTGTACTCCGCTAATCTTGTTTGCACTTCTATTTGGGGTTCCAAAAACACTTTCATTAACACAACCAAATGTTTTGTTTTGTCACGATGATCTTCTGCCCAGCAGTCTTCGCAGAGAGCTTGTTTGCACGTTTCGCAGTAGTATCGCAGAGTAAAACTGGAATGTTTGAAGCAATATGTCACCGAGTGGAATTCGGAATGGGAATGGGAGTAAATTGAAGACGTTGAGGAGACCATGGTTGCATATGAAGCCTCAGAGGCAACAGAAGGACGTCTTTCTTAAAAAAATGACGAGATTGTGATTTTCTGCCCTTAGCCGTTCAATTGAATGATATTTACTCTAAATTTAAGAGGGAAAAGTTAATTGAAAAAAATCGACCTCACGAAAGAAACCACTCCGTCATTTTGGTTACGATTACGACGCTTTAGGGAAGGGGAGAGCGAGCGAAAACGACATGCTTGGTTAAATTGAAAGTGTCATCCAGGTTTGTGGGCATTTGATAATGTAGTGCTTCATTTGGTAATCTTTGCATCAATTTATTGAAGTTTAACATCAAAAAATAGTTATTTTCGAAAAATTATCCAATATAGAAAAATTACCAAAGTTTTACATCAATTTCTCAATAAATAGTTAATTGTGTTAGATTTACGATAATTAAAAAATTATTATAAGGTTTGAATTCTGTTTCAGTTTTCAATCGAAAGCACGATGTTTCGAAGCCCGTTTTGATCCGTATTTATTGCATAATGATGAAAAATAAACTCTCAGTGAAACTATCAGCAAAAAAACTGATCACAGATGCTTTAACGACTCAACTAAAGAAGACACAAATTCGGTTCTCACCTAGTTGCAATGGCAGATGCACGTATTCTGGTGCTGAAGTTACAACTGAATTCTTGTTTAAAGCCGCAACTGGTCTCGTAGGCAAATCTCCCACCCTGATATTATGAATGATTTTGGCGTTATGGCTGCAGCATTCCAGCACTGGACATTTCTCCTTTGCCTGTCAAAACTGTTCTTTTTTTTCAAATGTTTTAATTAAACAGTCTTGATATTTATTAGATTCAGAGCAAGACTGCTGCTAGTCATGATAAAGCCTTGATTGTTTTAACTGGCCTCTAATGTCCATCACAAGCGTTTTGAAGAAAAAAAAATCAAATAACGTTAAAAAAAACTATAAAGAACCAAGACTGCTCCTATCAAGGCAAGAGTTTGAATGTTCCGGCAGCCTATTTGTTGGTCTCGAATAGCTTTGCTTAATGTTGACTAAGTATAAGTTCTAGGCTTAGTATATGAAGTTCTAAGTGTTGAAATTTGAGTTATATATGGAATCAATAAACCCAATTAGCTGGCATTAACTCAAATTGGATAGATTTGTAGTGCGGAAAAATTCGCCATGCGTAAAAATGCGCGTTAAATCTTCGATAAAAACGACTACTTTAGTTTGGTTTCTATGAAGTCACTACTGTGTGAGTAAAATTGTTCCAACGAAAATCCAGAGCATTTAAATTACTCGTTCTCTTCGAAAATCGGAATAGTAGGAGCAAATTGCTTGCCATAATGCAAATTGAAGGAGTTTAATTTCCACTTACACTTTACTAGAACATAATAATTTCTCGTTACTTATCCAACTTTGACAAATAATTGTCAAACTAGTCTAAAAAATTATCATTAAAACTTTGTGAAAAATGATGACAAGTGAAAGATGTTCTTAGAGTTGAGGCATCCAGACAACAATACCTTTCAGATGGTATAAAAAAATTCCTTGAAAAACGCTTAGTCAAGAAGTCGAAAATTGATCGCATAAAAAGAAACTACCAAAGCTTAAAATTTCCACAGTTTTTTCGAAAGTCAGAACACCAAGCAGATCGGGGATGCTTTCTAGTAATTCGCCAGCCAAAGTTTCCCATTTACTGGTCGTCGTTTCCATTCACGTGGAAATTATTGTGTTGATGCACACAAGTCAAAATTTTTGAAACAATTAGTAAGTGTGCCTATGTTTTATAAAAATTATCGAGTTTCAATATTCCCAATTTTTTTGTTACATCACAAAACTGCGACAAACAAATTTTTGCCAATCTAATTGTACCAAATTCTTGTAGAATGTTTTCTCCATCTATAACCTTGATCATAGATCAAAACCCCCGGCCAAACATTGGTGATTCAGCATCTTTACGGCCTTTTTCCTGTTTAGGGCCTCAAAAAAATTTTTTTTTGAGTTTAGAAATCAAAATAACCAAACTCAAGCCTTTAATCCCAGCGAACATATTGTCAGAATCAAGTATCGAGCAAATCCGTGCTCCATGATCTGATCGAGACAGCTAATCCAACCAAAAACACAACATGTAGATCTTAAGCAGGGGAATAACAGCCTAACAACAATACGATCACATATTTGCAATTTCCCAGCAAAAAAAAAACAATTCAGTCATACCACCACTCAAAGAAGGAAAAAGATATAATTATGACGATATATCCACGAAGGAAAGTACTTACATACAAACTATTCAGCTCATCACGAAGAACCGCTGTTATCCCGTGGTTAAGAACTAAATGCTGTTTGTTTTGGCTTGGTAATGCTGTCTCACCAGAATCTTGGATCACCAACTTTAGATTTTTCGATTGCTAAATGAAGACGTCACCACTTTACCACCGCTTCCCAGGCATGATCAGAAATCATTTCCATTGACAAACTACTCACATAAACAAAAAAACTCATTTTTGAAGAAATCAAAAATTTATAAGTTTCAAAAAATCTTTGATTCACTCCAAGAAGGCTTGAATTTCCAGAATGCAAAAAAAAATGTTTTATACTGGTGTCTTGCATATTTAGATTGTGAAGCAAGTATGAAGTAGAAGGTCTAATAATTCAAAATGTAAGGCAAAGTGCACACCATATTTAAACAGACAACAGACGTTTTAGACCAATAAGTTGACCAAAATACCCGGGTTAACAGAAAATGACTAGCATACTATTTCATACTATGAAAAAATGCCTATTATTTTATCTCATAATATTTCGTAGACTAAAACACTTTTTATGACAATTTCATCCTACGTTCCAAAGTATGAAATTTCTTAAAAAGCCTTTTTTTGCCATATTCTGGCATTAGATAACAAGCTGCTTTGTCATACTTTTTATCACAAAGATTTTATGAAAATAGAAAAAAGTTTTTTATTTTGAAATTGTATGATCAGCATTTTTCCTTTATATGAAATACGCCTTTTTGACACGCGTTTTTAACATAAATGAAATTACCTTACTGTGAAAATGTTGGTGGATGAGAAACTTATCCTGTTTTTTTGCAAATTTATGTTTATCTTATCGCATGAAAAAAAGATTGTGTTTATAAAAAACACTAATATGAGATTTTTAAATTTTTTGGATGAAAAACTCAACCTGGACTAGGTTATGGACCCAAAAAGTCAAACTGTGCATGCTTTTTCTGTAAAACATATATACAAACACAGAAGCAAGTCTGTCACCAAAATTGGATATACGAAAACTTTACCTCAATTTTGCGTTTTTTCTACGGAACAATGTGTATCATACAATTTTTATATATGAGATTATACGATAGGCATTTTCAAAATATTCAAAATATTTTTTTTTGAAAAAAAAACGCTTGATTGAAAAATGCTTCTCATACATTTTTCTTTGTTAAATTTGTATGATAAGCATTTTTTTCATAGAATCCAATTATAAAATGGTGTGATACTCAATTATCTGGAATGGACGTCAACGCGGGTAACTCATTAACTGAAGAATTAATACACCAAACAGTGCATTCAGAACAATGTTTGTTTCAAATGGTCTTAAAGAAAAAGTTTCATAATCCAGAAAGAAGCTTTGTCGCTACGTTAGATTTACCGATAAGTCTAGCATGGTAGCTCATCAAACTACTTGCACACAAAAAAAGTTTTGACCAACAACCCAGAGATTTTTCAGACAACTTCGCTATGTGACAACAACGTTCGACTAAGTTTCAGTGTATGCATGGGAGACAACTGCTCTTATATATGCATCAATTCGATTTATAACAAAAGCTATCTCAATCATTGCAAGCAGTTATTATGATTAAAACTCCCAGGCGGCAATGAAAACAAAACTCTAAATTCAACTATATGCTACAGCACTGAGACACTTGATTATCACTATTCAATGAAGTCCACAAGTTTACCACAAGCACATAACACCACATTACGAGGCCAAACTGTGCATTCTCTGCATTGTAAGCGGAATCAGCAACAGGCCAAAATCAGATTCGTCGCGGAATCCGCAAAATTGCTACTTTTCTTTGATCTTCTATGCTGTTTTGGATTCCACAAATAAATACCTTAATCATTGTACCGCTCAAAATCGCTCGAAAATAGACGAGTTTGCGGAATCCGCAACAGTATTTGCGGAATCCAGAACAGTTTGTGGAATCCACAAACAATTGATAAAACATTTGTATCGTTAAATTGAGCTGTAGCGGAATCCGCAACTGTAAGTGGAATCCGCAAATTGTACGTGGAATCCAAAAATTATAAGTGGAATCCGCATTTTGTTTGTGGATTCCCTTTACATATTTTTATATGTGTAGTAGCCTTTAAAATTATATCTTTTGAATAGAAATTTACTAGAATCGAAATTTAAAAGAATACAATTTTACTAGAATAGATCAGTGTTTGGGATTAATGGAATCCCAATTACTGACGAGTACGTGGGTTCGATGAAATCCCAAATACTGAAATATTTCGACGATTTGCAATGAGTTGGGTTTCTAATCACTCTCAACCTAATGACTCCAAATAACGGATATATTCCATATTTATTCCACATTACTCCAGTTTTTGAGATTCCATCAATCCCAAATATTGACCAGTAATTGGGATCGATGGAATCCCAAACACTGAACTAATTTGACGATTTGCTTTGCGTTGGGTTTCTAATCACTCTCAACCTAATGACTCCAATTAATGGATTTATTCCATGTTTAATCCACATTATTCCAGTTTTTGGGATTTCATCAATCCCAAATACTGACCAGTATTTGGGATCGATGAAATCCCAAATACTGACCTAATTTAGCGATATGCTATGCGTTGTGTTTCCATACATTCTCAACCCAACGACTACAATTACTGCATTTATTCGACTTTATGCTTCCAAAATCAGTATTTAGGATTGACGCAATCCCAAATACTGACCTAATTTGTCGATATGCTGTGTGTTCCATACACTCTCAAATCAATGACTCCAACTATTGAAATTGTTCGGTGTTGTGTTTCCAAAATACTAAGAGATGACATCAACCAGTTTGGGTAACCAATGTTTTAAGACTTGTTCGTGGATTCCGCTGACAATGATTAAGTCTTTGCTTTTAAATTCCGCATTGCAAGAGAAAAAAATACCAGCTCAGTTTTTAATTGTTCATATGCAAGTTCAAATGAATCCACTTACAGTTTGCGTAATTCAATTTCATTTGCGGATTCCGCTTACATTTTGCAGAATCCACTTACACTTGCGCAATCCAGAACAACTAGCTATATTTGCTTGTTTTGGAATCCGCAACAAAACCAATTTGCCGACAAAATTTACGTTACAGGTATATGTATGCGGAATCCACTGAAATTTTGTTTGTGGAATCCACTTACATTTTGAAACATATTTTAAGACTTGTCAAAAATGAAACTGTATCGCTAAAGTTTTTTTGGCAACATGGAAATAGATAATAAAAAAAAATTCGCCATACACTTTTTTATGAAATGCATAAAAATAATATGCTAATTTTTTTTGTACTGTGATCAGCATACTTTTCATACTATAAATTTTTTTCCAAGAAAATTTTTTTGTTCGGAAATTTTGTGCTATATTCATTACACACTTACTAAGGGTTGTCAACATAAGAAAACCAAGAGTGTCAGTGGCAGTTATCACGCAGATAAACTGCTTCTGGCAATTTTTGTCATGTGAGTATTTGATAAGATTCGTAACCGTATTGTATATGGAAAGAAAAT